AGGTGACACTATTCAAAAGGAAATGCATTCATCTGACTTATATAACTATAAATCCTCTCTACATCACATTTACAATAACAATAAAAAAAATTTAAAGGAAATATAAGAAATGGATAATTCCTCAATTTATTTGTCTGATTTTCCATTGATAACTAGCATAAAGTTGTGCTTCTTTGGCAGAAGCACATACAAATGGTGCTTTTCTCATTGTGTTATGCCAGGAGGCACACCATATTTGTTTGCCCTGTGTTAGTGCTATCGACTTAAAATGGCCCCCACAAATTCATGTTGAAATTCTAGTTCTCAATGTGATGGTATTAGGAGATGGGCCTTTCAGAAGTGATTAGGTCAAAAGGGTGAAACCCCATCAATAGGATTAGTGCCCTTATAAAAGGCACTCCAGATACCTCTCTGACCCTCTTTTTGCCACAAGAAGAAGTTGACAATTTTGAGGATGGTCCTCACCACAACCTTACTATGCTGGTGCCCCAATCACAGACTTTCAATCTCAAAAAATTATAATAAATTTGTTATTTCAAAGGCACTGAGGTAAAGATATTTTGTTGTAGAGGCCTGACTTTTAGGCAACCAATTACATTCTATTTGATCCCTTGGTGGTTAATTAGGTTTTTTCAACCAAAAATTACTATTGTAATTTACCAGTATTTCTGTGGAGTTGTTCTGAGACTATAAAAAACATATCCTGTAAGTCTTCAGACTTTTCACTGATTAGTTTTAGTGTCCCTTGATGATTCTTAGCTTGAACCACTCCTATTATAATGGATGCCAAATGATGATTTGTAAGTCTTTCATTCCTTCCACGTGATCTAAATGCCTGCTCTTCCACTCTTTTTTTTGTGTTTGGAAATGCTATTATTTTCCTCCTTTACAATGAGTCAATTAATTAATTTTAATTAAGAAATTCTAATTTATTATTCATTCATTTGTTTTGATAGGGTCTTGCTATATAGCACAGGCTGGTCTTGACCCTCCTGCATCATCCTCCTGAATGCAGAGATCATAGGTACATGCTACTATACTTGGCTTTAAATTTATTAATAATGAAAGATTATACTGATAGATTTGTTTGTATTGAACCGTCCATGCATTCTTAAACTTCATATAGCTATTACTGTTGTAATTTTTTGTTGTTGTAATTTTTATAATGCTTTTGAAGTATGGCTTCTAGTTTTGCATCTATATTTATAAATTAAGTTGATATATAGTTTTTATGTGTGCTATCTTTATTAGTATCAATGTTATATTATGACAATTTTTTTCAAGGTTCCTTTTTCACAAGCTAGGGGTCAGTTAAATAACACGGGCATTACCAACTCTCAAAAGTGAAAAAAATTTTCCTTTGACATTATATGAGCTTGCTGTCTTTTGAGAGACTTGGTTCTTTGATAAATTTCTCAACTCTTTTTGTGTAATTGGCCTAGCATTTTTTTTCTACCTCCTCTGGGCTGGGTATAGGGAGAGTATATGTTCCTAGAAACCTCATCTCATTTGAAATCTCAAAGTTAGTAAATTAATAGGGTTAGTGAATTAATCTTATGATTTTTAAAAAGTCTTCTAATTAAGTTTATTTTTTCCATGTTACTTATTATTTTGTGAAGTTGAATTTTTTTTTCTTATTACTTTTCTACTGCTGCTATGATAAATGATCACAAACTCGGTAGGTTGAACAGTATATGCTTATTATGCCACAATTCAGTGGGTGAGAAGTCTGACCTAAGTGTTGCCTAACATCATTCACCGGGGGAGCTCTGTTTCTTGTTTCTTTCTTTTTTTTTGGTTGGTCGTGGGGCTTGAACTCTGGGCTTGGGTGCTGTCTTCAGCTCAAGGTGAGCACTCTACTGCTTGAGCCACAGTGCCACTTCCAGTTTTCTAGTGGTTTATTGATGATAAGAGTCTCACGGACTTTGCCACTTGGGCTAGCTTTGAACCATGATCCTCAGATCTCAGTCTCTTGAGTAGCTAGGATTACAGGCATGAGCCACCAGCACTGGGCTACTTTCTTTTCTTTCTAAGGCCATCTATGTTCTTTCACTTATTTATGGCTCCTATTGTAATGACCTGTGAGAGAGAAAATCCAGGGAGATATCCAGGGAGATACTGTTAAAGATGACAAGGGAGTTTTATTAATTGCAAACAGGGTCTGCAACCCTGTCCTGAGTTACGTCAGGACTAGGAATAGCTACAACCTCCAAGCGGGCAAGTTTTTTCCCTCTTTTTCCTCCTTCCCACAGTCCTCTCCATTTCTGCAGGCCTTTCTGCTCTCCACAGGCCTTTCCACTGCTCAGCCTCTCCTCAGGCCTCTCTGCTCTCCATGGGCCTCTCCCTCTCTCCATGGGCCTCTCCCTCTCTCCATGGGCCTCTCTTGCAGGCCTCTCCGATCTCCATAATCCTCTCTGATCTTTGCAGGCCTCTCCACCTCGTCACAAGCCTCTCAGCTCTCTGCAGGCCTCTCTGCTCTTTATAGGCCTCTCTGCTTTGGGAGGAGCCTCTTTTGCTGGCTCTCCCAGCGTGTCTCTTTCTCTATCTTTCCCTCTGATCCAGAACACGCAGCCTATATATAGGGTGTCCACACCCCAAAGCCGCCCTTTGATACCTCACCCCATAGCAGCCCAGAGGGTGTGGTGGTGACATCAACATGGTGTGGGACTTCCCACCCCTTTGGTTCTCATACTACTTCCATCGTCAAGTCATCAAAGGCAGGTCAACTGTAACACCACAACTCTAACCCTTCATTCATTGCCATTGATTTTAAGGATTCAGAAAATTAAGTTGAGCCCACGTGTGTAATATCCCCATGATCTTGCTCTTTAATCATAATAGCTAAGTTCTTTTTGTTATGTAAGGTAGTATATTCACAGATTCTGGGAATTAGCAGGTAGACATTTAAGGCAAGCTGTTATTCTCCATCCATCTCTTTTTCTTTTAATGATAAGATCTGTTAAATTTTAATCAACTTAATTATTTTTATCTTAATTTACTCATAATGTCTTGATTTATTTTTGTTTTTTTACTACTTTTTTAGCACATTAAATTTATGCTTTTTCCTTCTACCTTTCTTTGGTTTATTTATTTTCTAATTTTGCAATCAAATGCTTAATTAATTTCCTTGTCTTCTTTCTCTATATAAATAAAGATAGGAATTTCCTCTGCGTATTACTTTAGCTCTCTTTCACGGGTACTAAGATGTTGTTTTTGTTATTGTTTCTAAATTAACCATAGCTTGTTATTTTCCACTTAACCCAAAAAATATGTAAGGCAGAGTTGTGCTTTTTCTGAAGGGTTGTTTTGGAAGGGTCTCCTAATTTCCTGACTTTTTCATTATTATTGTTTTTTATTTTGGTTGTTGGCTTGTTTGTGCCAAAACTGGTGGTGATTGAACTCAGAATCTCATGCTCTCCCTTGGCTTTTTCACTCAAGGATGGAGCTCTATCACTTGAACCACAGCTCTACTTCTCATGTTTTGGTGGTTAATTGAAAATAAGAGTCTTACAAGATTCCTTGTCCAGGCTGTCTTCAAACCTTGATCTTTAGCTCTCAACCTCCTGAGTAGCTTGGATTACAGACATGAGCCACCCAGCTTCATTGTTACTGGTTCTATCACATATTGGACTTAGAATGTTTTCTTGTGGCCTAATAGTCAAGTTTAATGAATGTTTTATCATTTGGAAATAGAAAGATTATATTATTTTCATAGTACAGTGTTGAAATTTTGCATGCCAGAACTCATTTACTAATACATATATAAAAGGTCTTATCTTTTATATGTTCATGTGATTTGTCACAAACTGAGAAAATTAAAGTCTCCTACTAATGTGTTTCTTTACAACAATGTGTTTCTTTTTGTATCTTGTATAGATTATGGTATATTATTGTTGCTTTTACATTATTTGCTGTATGGATTTTCCTATTATTTCTTCCTTCTCTCTTTTGACATAGTATTTTCTATGGACAAAAGCTTTTAAGGTTTTATGTAGTCAAATTTTATCAATATTATCTTTTATTGTTTTTTATCTCATGTTGCTTTAGAGTCTTTCTTCACTCCCAGCCTTTATAATCATTTGGCCATGCTTTCTTCTGGTATTTTTGTGGTTTTGTTTTTTACATAAAAATGTTTGAATAATCAGAATATATTTTGTTGTAAAGAATGAGTAGATGCCTACCTTTATTCTCTGTCTCTCAAGCTTGGTCCTTTTACATGCTTTAAGAAATATTTAAACATTTTACTTGAGTAGTCATTTGGAATACATATTTATCTATTGGTTTTACCTTCTGCCTAAAATGGTTTTTTTTTTGGGGGGGGGGGGTCAGGTCGTGGGGCCTGAACTCTGGGCCTGGGCACTGCCCCTCAGTTCTTCAGCTCAAGGCTAGCGCTCTACCACTTGAGCCACAGTGCCACTTCCGGCTTTTTTCTTTTTGCTTCTGTGGTGCTGAGGAATTGAGCCCAGGGCCTCAGGCATGCAAGGCAAGCGCTCTACCACTGAGCCACCTTCCCAGCCCCAAAAATCTGTTTTTTCTTTCATTAATAATGCTTTCTTTTAATAACAATTCCTTTTTTTGTGGGGGAAGAGGGGACTGTCTATCAGTCCATACTGCTGGTTTAGAACTGCCCCTAGTTCCTGATCCATGGTTAGATATATAAATCAACTTTAGAATCATCTCTCTAGCCACAGCAATTGGTTCAGGGATGAGGTGTAATCCAAACTAAACCAATTTGAATCAAGATGACTGAACACTAAAATCTTTGTTGGCATATTGCAGAAGAGGTAGTCTTTTCCTGTGTGATTTGAAGCTATAAAAGCATAAATCTGGGCTTCTAGGAAACCATTACAGCAAAAAAGGCAGAGCTTCTGTGATAGAAAAGAAAAAGAAAAAAAAATAAGAGACTAGGTACTGACAAAATTATCTTTGAATTCAATTATGTCCTACCCCTGGCTTGCACTTGCAACAAATAGACACTTGACTAAAGAAAAAAAAAGAAGGCCGCTTTGCAGACGCCGCTGTCGCTTGTGGTTACCAGCTGCCAGCCATGGTCAACCCCACCGTGTTCTTCGACATTGCCGCCGACGGCAAGCCCTTGGGCCGCGTCTGCTTCGAGCTGTTTGCAGACAAAGTTCCAAAGACAGCAGAAAACTTTCGTGCTCTGAGCACTGGAGAGAAAGGATTTGGTTATAAGGGTTCCTGCTTTCACAGGATTATCCCAGGATTCATGTGCCAGGGTGGTGACTTTACATGCCATAATGGCACTGGTGGAAAGTCCATCTACGGAGAGAAATTTGAGGATGAGAATTTCATCCTGAAGCATACAGGTCCTGGCATCTTGTCCATGGCAAATGCTGGACCAAACACAAATGGTTCCCAGTTTTTCATCTGCACTGTCAAGACTGATTGGTTGGATGGCAAGCATGTGGTCTTTGGGAAGGTGAAAGAGGGCATGGAAGTCGTGGAAGCCATGCAGGGCTTTGGGTCCGGGAATGGCAAAACCAGCAAGAAGGTCACCATTACCGACTGCGGACAACTCTAATACATTTGATTTGGTTTACCATAACCACCAGACCATTCCTTCTGTAGCTCAGGAGAGCACCCTTCCACCCCATCTGCTTGCAATATCCTGTAATCTTTGTGCTCTCACTGCAGTTCTTTGGGTTCCATGTTTTCCTTACCTCCCCTCCAAATCTAGCTGGATTGCAGAGTTAAGTTTATGATTATGAATAAAAACTAAACAGTGAAAAAAAAAAAAAAAAAAAAAAGAAAAAAAAGAAAATGAAACAATTTCCTGTTTCCAAATTGATTTGAAAATAATGCTTTTTGTTATATGTAGCATTCTGATATGAACTTGGCCCTTTAATCTGACCCATTGACCCATTTATCTCTTCCAATGGACATAAACTAGGGGAAATTGTTTTACAAATGTCTTATTTGCTTACCTCAATATTTAATTTAATTTTTTATTGAACATGGGACTTGAACTCAGGGCTTGGGCACTGTCCCTGACCTCTTTTGTTCAAGGCTAGTGCTCTACCACTTGAGCAATAGTGCCACTTCTGGTTTTCTGGTGATTAATTAGAGATGAGTCTTATGGGCTTTCCCAGGCTGGCTTCAAACTGTAATCCTCAGATCTCAGTTTCTTGAGGAGCTAGCTTTATAGGCATGAGCCACCAGTGCTCAGCCTAGTATTTAAAATTTTTGATGTTGCTATGAGAATTGGCTGATAACAGTTTTTAGTTGGCTCCTTTTTCAGAGAATTGTTCCTGGGCAATCAAGAGCTCTCCTACAAGAAAGGTAGAGCGTCCTTCAAACTCTGCTAATGCCTGATTTCCATGGGTGGAAAAGCCAGTCGTGTAATCTCAAAGTAGAACTTTGGGTTTCAGAGCATTCTTGCTTAGCTTTTTCTATGATCCCACTTTATTACTTTTGAGAGCACTTTCCAATAAAACATTTGTGCAAAATTCTCAGCCCCAGGCTGAGGTCAGGGAACCTGACCTAGGAGAAAATGGAATTTTCTCTAGGTGTTCTCATTACTCACCACTAGGAGCTGTCACTAACTAGAAGTGGTTCTCTCCTTTCCCCCCATTCCCCCACCAAATTAAAAAAAAAAAAGAATGCAGGCTATTCATTTTTTTTAATACACTAGAGAGTCAACACTGGGCACCTACCAATGTGTAGCTATTCAGGCAAGATCATCAGAAGAAGACAAAACTATTGGGTGATATTTATTTGGACTATTTACTAAGAGGAGAAAAGCTGTGGATTGTTTGTTTTTTATTTATTCTGCTCTTTTTAAACTGACAGTAATTATATTCATGAGTGTGGTATAATGTTTCAGAACATTTTTACATGTTTATTGACCAACTTAAGATACTTAAGTTATCCATTGTCTCATTTATCATTTCTTTGTGATGAATAGTCAATATCTTCTAATTATTTTAAATTATACAATGTTGCTGATTTTTTCATCATTCTGTATAATAGAACACAGGAACTTACTCCTCATATCTAGATTTGTAACTGTTAACCAGTCCACTGTCCCTTTCCTTGGTCTCTACTTCTATTCTGCTCTTTACTTCTATGAGATCAACTTTGTTAAATTCTATATGAGAGAAAATCATGCAGTATGTATTCTTTTTTTTTAATTTTTATTTTTATTTTTTGTGAACATACTGTACAGAGGGGTTACAATTACAGAGGCAAGATAATGAGTACATTTCTTATCAAGCATTGCAGCCTCCTCCTTTGTTTACCCTTCACATCCCTTCCCAGCCTCCCCCCTCCCCCCCCATGTATTCTTTTTTGTCTGGCTTATTTCACTTAATGTTGCGATCTCCATTTGTGTTGCCAAAGATAACAAGATGTCATTTTTTTAATGAACTAATAGTGTTCCATTGTGTTTCTTTACCATTCATCTGCCATTGGACATCTCAATCAATCCCTTAGGAAATGGTACTTTTGTAATCAAAATGTCTGACACCTCCAACCAGGCATCAGTGGCTTATGCCTGTAATCATAGCTACTACAGAGGCTGAGATCTGAGGGTTGTGATTCGAAGCCAGCCAGGGCAAGAAAGTCTGTGAGATTCTTATTACCAATGAACCACTCAAAAGCTGGAAGGGAAGGTGTGGTTCAAGTAGTAGAGTAAGCCTTGAGCAAAAAAGATCAGAGATAGCATTCAGGCCTTGAGTTCAAACCCCAGTACCAGCATACACACACACACACACACACACACACACACACACACACACACACACACACACACACACACACAATGCAGCATCAACAATATTGGTGCCAACTGGAATGTGATACTTGAGATGACATGATAAGGAAGTACAAAAAATATTTAACCTGAATATAACCATGGGAAAATACCAAATAAACACAGCTGTAACACATTCTATCAAACAAGCTTGGAGAAAGTCCTTGCACTTAAGAGCCAAATGTCTGAATATCGGGGGGAAGGGGTTAAGAGAAATTTAAGCCAAGTTTTTACAGGAGCTCATTATGTTATGTTCTATTTTTCATGGGTCTGAAATTGTTACAAAGGGAACTTTCAAACAAAATGTATACCCGTTATACATGTCCCCCAAGGTATATATTATGTAAAAACTCCCATGATTTCATTTAATGTGCATCATTCAGTTAAAATCTGTTATCAAATCATATTATGAAATGCTCATCACAATTATGGTCAATACTCATCTTATTTCAGATTATAATAAGATTTTCAACCCCCTATTAACAAAAAACAAAATTATATGCTAGCTGCTGGATCAATTAGTTTTAGCAGTATACACCTTTCTTTTTCATTAAATACATGGAAATTTAATCATAATGTCGTAATGGAGCTATTTTGGCCTTTTAAACACATTACTTAATTACATTATTCCCAAAAGCTGACAACCAGAATTCTTACATGAACACCCATTTGTCAAAGAAGTACCTTGCCTTCAGCAATACTCATCACATTAATAATAATTGGAAATTCGTCAATTTTATAATTTGGATAATTATAAAATAATGAAGAATACCATTATCACGTTGCTTTCTTATATCTGTGTTTGGTTTAATATTGGTTTGTTTGCTTTAGTAATCTTTCTTTCTTTCTGTCTTCCTCTTTTTCTTCTTTATGACAGTCTCATGCTATATTTTTTTCACTTTTTTATTGTGAAAATACTGTACAGAGCGGTTACAATTATATGGGCAAGATAATGAGTACATTTCTTATCAAGCATTGTAGCCTCCTCCTTTGTTTCCCCTTCCCATCCCTTCCCATCTTCCCCCCACCCCCCCCACCCAATCCTTCCCGCCCCCTTCTCTCCCCCCCCACCAAAGTTGTAAAGTTCGTTTTCGACATAACGACTTGTACATCTCATTGTTGCAATGGATCCACCTGTATCCCTATTTAAGCTATTTGTTTTTTCCCCTTCCCCTCCACAAATTATAGCGACATCAAATACAGTGAAAGCAGGGGTTATACTGTGGGGGAGGGACATATAAAGCAACAAAGAAATAATCTTATAAATGTGTTAGAAACAATCGCATGAAAGAAAAAAACATTTGAATACATATCTTAGGGTTCATTTCCCTAACATCACCTTATCTGACCTTTTCTGCTTGACTCAGACGTATACTAGAAGTCTCATGCTTTATTATAGCTAATGCTGGCTTTGAACCCCTCAATCTTTCCGCCCCAGCCTCCTGAATGCTGAAATTGCATTACCATACTTAGCTCTTTAGAAAGATTTCTTACGATACATACTACAAAATTAGTTTTCTTAAGCTTCATCCCTTCAAATTTGTCGTAACAGATTTCTTTGAACTGAAAAATGACATCAGATTCTTCCTGACAGGAATTAAGTCTGATTTTGAGGATTAGCTTGACAATCAACTTTGACAGAAAGGTTCCAATGAACATTTTCCAGAATCATATTATTGAATGATCAAAATGGAATCTTGGAGGTTTTGATAAATAGAGTTAAAACACACAGTAAGGCAAAGGCATTTAAAAATTACTGAGTTATATGACAGACGGGTTCTAAGATCACCCCATAACCCTGGCTTTCTGATAGCCTGGCCTTTGTGTAGCCCCACTCCTTGAATCTGGTTGGGACTTAGGACTCACTTGGAGCTCAGAATTCTAGCAGAGAGACTCAGTTCTGGTTTTGAGGGAGCAAATGGTTGCGCTGGAAAGGCCCATAATGGAAAAAATTGAGAAAAGCTTTTATTTGGCAGCCAGTAAAGAACTGATACTGTAGTGCCAACAACCATGTGACTGAGAAGTAACTCCTCCCTGACATGCCTCAAGTATGACTGCACTCCCTGCCATACTTTGATTACATTCTTGGGGACTTGGGAGACTTGGCTAAGTCATGCTCAGACTCTTGACCCACAGAAATTGGGAGAACATGAATGTATAGTGGTAAACTGCTAAGATTGTGGCAATATTTAAGTATAGCAACTGATAGCTAGTACAATGTCAAAGGTGTATTGAATATTGGAATGTCAATATTCAAATGTCAATATTTGAATGATTTGAATGATGAGTCAGGAGGAGTTACAGGTACAATGTTGGCAGTTGTTTGCAAACTTGAGCTGGCATTGGAAACACCTAAAGGAGTTGTTGGTAAAACTCAGCCTGCTGGGTCTTACTTGTGGAATTTCTGGTTCTAGGTGGGAACTGGAAATTCACATTTCTGACAAATTGCCAGTTGGTGTAGATGTGGCTTGTCTGGAATCCACACTTTGAAAGCCACTAATATAGCTATTTGGTAATTCAGTCTTAGAGAAGCTCCTTTGGTATATCTCTTAGAAATTGAGGAAGTTATAAGATTCTAATGACTAATATACTGTTTTACAATCTTCTTTTTTTCCTTCTTTCTTTTGTGTGGTGGTGGTGGTGATGATGGTGTGTATGTGATCCTGCCAGTACTGGGGCTTGAACTAAGAACCTGGGTGCTGTCCTTCGGTTTTTATTTTTCTTTTTGCTCAGGGACATTACTCTATCCTTGAGCCAAAACTCCACTTCTGGCTTTCTGATGGTTAATTGGAGATGAGAGTCTTATGGACTTTTCTGACCCAGCGGCTTCAAATTACGATCTTTAGATCTCAGACTCCTCAGTAGCTGAGATGATAGGTATGAGCCATCCATGTCCAGCAATCTTCTTCTTTTTTAAATTTATTTTTAATCTTTTAACATCCACTTGTAATATGAGGGGTTTTTATTGTGATAT